ATTTCTACAGCAATTGTTAGAAAACATTGATGGCCTGCAGTTGTCTTACTTTCTGCTGCTTTGCATTTTTTGCTCAAAGGGAATGGGTCAACAATATTAGATTAATAAAACTCAGTTATGTCACTTTTATGAAGGGGTGGACTTTCATTCAGTTCCGCCCAGTTAAACTATTTGTAAATATTTAATTTGAACAACAACCTTTTTTATTACCTCACCCTTTTCCCTCAACAGAACCTACAGGAACTCTCCCTACAATGGACTCATTCATTATCGCTATAGACTTTGGAACAGCATTCAGTAGCTGTGCGTTTAGTATAACAGCCAGTCAAGAAGAGATAGAACCCCATCTGAGATATTGGGGTGAAGAAGTTGGACTAGAAACCCCAAACATTCATACCTGTATCATCTTTAACGAACAACAACAGTTTCTCAGCTTTGGTTGTAAAGCCAGAAGAACCTGTTTACGTCAGAGCAGAGATTCTAGATTTTTGTTCTTTGACTTCTCTGAGATTTCTCTGGATGACAAAGTGAGTAAAAACACTTTAAAAAAATCTAAACTTTTTATATTCTTAAGCTAATTTAAACCAACTATATTTTACAGATTATAGGACTAGTAAGATGTTAAAAGTTTTATGTTATTACCACCAAATTGTATAGATTTCTACACAAATGTATGCTCTATTTATATTTGTCTTGTTTGTTGTAATGCAAGCTTATATATCAGTTTTTTTTATTTTGTTGTAGTTTATTTTAATTTAATTTTCTAATTTCAAAATAACTTTCTTGCTGAGATACAGCTTTACAACTATAGTATAGATAAACACAATGATTTATTTACCTGTTGGTATCTTATCTGCTTTATTAGCTTCTATCATGTTAAAAATTCTAACTTTGGTTCAATAATTAAACTCTGTTGTGATTCTCATTTAACTCGTATTTGACCTTTTTCACATAACTTGTCAGAAAATTACAGAAAATCTGAGCTGATATATTTTAAAAATGTAAGCAATGTGTTTTAAAATTGGTGAATTTACTTTTTCTTGATACTTTGACATGAATGAACTAATAAACTTGTTAATCATCTTTAGAAATTCACCAGAGACCTGACTATTAAAGCAGTCAATGGAAGGGAAATGAAGGCTCT